TAATTTCAAAAGAAGTATCTGGTGTGAGAGGCCATGGATCAAGTGGGTCATGTATCGGCAGCTTTGTGGAACTGTGTAACTCTTACTTCAGAGGAATATAAGACACAATCACTTATGTAATCATTGATTGCATTCCTCAAAAAATACAGTACATTATATAATAATGTCGTGGTCTTAATTTGAGTCAATTCATTACTAAAATGATGTCCAAAAAGTGGTTCAAAGATAATGGTATCAAAATTGTTGATAAAATGTCAAATCAGCCAAATGTTGCAAACTCCCGTCCCATTGAGTGCTTCTGGAGTTTATGCAAATATGGGTATCATTTAATGGCTTAAGGATCATAAAACATTTTGAATCCATGAAACACGAAAGTATCACCAGATGGTCATGAATCAGGTCTCAAGTGAGCAAATCTGTGAGTGATAGGTGTGCAAAGGCACTCATGAGGAATGTGTGGTTTGACATCAGAGATATCGGTGATAATTGATTGAATGTCTAATATGAGCGCAAAGACCTGTTCAGTACATGACCCTGTATATTATTACCAAAATTTAGGACATTTCAATAAATATTCTTCGAGATATCATCACTTTTGTAAAAGGGAATTATATAATTTCCATATAATAAACAAATATATTTAAATGAAATTAAATTTATAGACAATTTTGATAAAATTAATTTTTTTACAAGTCAAATATATCTTAATTTTCAGTTAAATACAAATGATTAGACTTTTTGAATTAAAATGTTTTTGAAAATATGAATACAAATGTGATATTCAGTTTGAGACTGGTCATTCATGGAATTTATATGAATTGGCTTATTATTTATACTGATTTAAAATAATTAATTATCTGAACAAGTATATAGTACATAACATATTACTAAAATATTTTCACAAAACCACTTATCATGATTAAGTAATCATGGTTTTATCTATTGTACTTATATATAGTATTTATATATAGTACAATATTTACAATTAAAAAATTTGATTAAACTTTCATCCACTTACAATTTAATCATAACTATTGTGAACTATCTCATATGCTCACAACAATAACCTTGATGGCAAATATATAAAGAGTATTATTTTCATTAAAGTTTAGTGGGTTTACTAAGATGAAGATGAATAGGTTATTATATTGTGCTATTATCCAGGTATTTGTCACTTGTGTCCGGGCGACTGACAAAGTGTTTTGGTATGATAGCCCGGCTGCCAATGCTATGGAGCAGGCCGTGCCTGTGGGTAATGGACGTATAGGTGGACTGGTTTTTGGAATCACTGGTTAGTCATTAATGTGATATTATTTTAATTATCTAGATAATTAAATATATATTTAGTTATAAAACAGATTAAAAAATATTTAAAATAAAATTTGAACATAATATATCTGTTATATGAAATGAATATTATAACATTTGAAATATATCTCAAAATATCCCTGGTATTGATATTTTTCGGTGGAAATACAGAGAGAGAAAAAATAGTTGTAAATGAAGTCACGTTATGGACGGGCGATGACAATCCGTCCCAACAGTACGGCGGTCCGGGTTTCGGCGATTACCAGACTTTGGGTAATCTGATCATCGATTTACCCGATCATAAGGACCACTCGCAGTACAAGCGGGCGCTGGATATCGGGGACGCCGTCGCGACCGTTGATTACGAGTCACACGGAGTTCAATACAAGCGGGAAGTGTTCGCGAGTCACCCCTCGGAGGTAATGGTCGTCCGGTTGACCGCCAATAAGGGCGGGTCTTATACGGGACGCATAGAGCTGGAGGACTCGCATAAGACAGGACTCCGAGCGGCGGACAACTCGATCTCCGCCGACGGAAAACTGCAGAACGGGTTGCGGTTTGCGTGGAAAGTGTCGGCCCATAACACCGGCGGTAATCTCAAAGTGAACGGTGCGCTCATTGAGTTCAATGGGTGCGACTCATTGACGCTAATAGTGAGCGCCGGCACTGACTATGTGTTCGACGACTCGAAAAAGTTTAAGTCCGGCGAAGACCCTCTCAATCACGTGAACGACTGGATCTCAAAGGCCGGCGCCAAGTCATACGACGCCCTAAAGACCGAACACTTGAATGACTTCCACGGGCTGTTCAATAGAGTGGACCTGGATTTGGGACAGTCGTCCGGACAGCAACAGGGGTTACCGACCGCCAGACGTAAGGTCGCGGCCGTCAACCAATTTGATCCCGACTTCGAGGAAATGTTTTACCAATTCGGACGGTATCTCATGATATCGTCGGCGCGAACCAGCCTTCCCCCCAACTTACAGGTCAGTCTCAAATGTGCCTGATCATTTAATTTATATGCAAGCTTACCTCTAATGTAGTAAATAAATAGGTTACATGATAAACTTTTGATATATGCTCAGGGTCTATGGAATGATAAAAATGACCCGCCGTGGCATGCTGACTATCATACCGATCTGAATATCCAGATGAATTTCTGGCCGGCGGAGACAGCTAACCTTGGTGAATGTCATATGACATTATTTAATCTGGTTAGGAGTCAATTGAATAGTTGGCGCCAACAGACCAGAAAATCCGATCAATTGCTGACACCATTGGGTAAACACTCGACAAAAGGTGTTGCCGTTTCCGGTCAGCATAATATTTTCGGAGGTATGGGTGGAGGCATGGATATTGATAAGACGGATACAGCATGGTATGAGATAAATAATGAATTACCTTGTATATTTTAATTTTTTATACATTGCTTAAATCCAATGTAAAACTTAAAATATATTGTTGAAGTAGGCAAAAATATTATACGACAAAATCATTACATAACTTAAGGGTTTTTACTAGTTTAATTATTACATAAAGTACTTTTTATGTTTACAAATATAAAATTTTAACAAAGTATAATGAGATAAAATATTATATTATATTATACAGGTATATTATAGTGATATAGTATTGCATAAGTGGCTAGAGGTCAATAGGGCTAAATGATAATTATGTACATGATGTAGTGTATTATAATACACTATGCACTTAATAATAAATTTATAAAGTGGTGGTGTTTAAACGCACCATAGGTCATGTTGCTGGTTACATAAAAATTGTAACAAGATCATCTACGAAAAAATATATTATATATCGTTCATAGGTATGCGCAACACTTTTGGGAACATTACGCTTTCGGAATGGATAAGACATACCTAAAGGACATCGCCTACCCTTTCCTGAAAGAGGTGTCGGAGTTTTGGGACGAACAGCTCAAGACTGTGACGAAAGGCACGAAAGAGCAGATCGGAAAACTGGTTGTCCCTAACGGGTGGTCACCAGAACACGGACCCAAAGAGGACGGCTGTAGTTATAATAATGAGATCGTATGGGATTTGTACACAAATTACATTCAAGCGGCGGATGCGCTGGGAGTGGACAAGGAGTTTAGGGATAAGATAGCCGGTGAGAGGGATAAGATCTTATGGCCAGGGATTGGATCGTTCGGTCAAGTGATGGAATGGATGGAAGAACAACCGGGCGAGAAGACCGACCATCATAGACATACATCCCATTTGTTTGGCGTATATCCGGGACGTCAAATCACTCCGGAGTCTAATCCCGCTTTGGCTAAAGCATCCTTGGTAATTATAATAATATATATTGATATTAGTATTAATATCATGAATAGTTATCTTGTTTACTAATATTATTGATGGATATTTATTTTGTATTTGTAATGTATATGCATTGCATTTAATATGACTAAAAGTGTTTATACATCGAAATGAACCTAATTCTATAGCAACACTATATTAACTGTTTAAACATTTGAACCGACAAATAGGTATCCCTCGCCGCTAGAGGTATCGACCCGTCCACCGACGTGACTGAGTGGTCGTACGCCTGGCGCTCAGCCCTATACGCCCGGCTCAGGGATGCCGAGAACGCCCACCACTTATTCCGCGAGCTTATGACCGAACGTAACACTCATCCCAATATGTTTGGGAGACAGCCGTCGATGCAAATCGACGCCAACTTCGGCATAACGGCAGCCGTCGCCGAATTCCTACTCCAGAGTCACGCAGACGTCGTGGAGGTGTTGCCGGCGCTGCCGAAGGACTGGAAGACCGGACACGCCAAGGGTCTGAAGGCCAGAGGCGGACATCAGTTGGATATCTATTTCGAGAACAATAGCCTGAAGTCTGTAACCATTAACAGTGTTGTCGCCAGTGATATGAAAATCAAATACGGAAATAATGTGAAGACAATTAAAGTGACCCCGGGTAAAGCGACTAATTTGGATCACAATCTGAATCCAATTTAATAGAGAAAATGATGTTTTATTTTTTATCTGGAAATAAGACTTTTATTTAAAATTATCACGATATCTAATTCATAATGTAAATCTATGTGCTATGTTTGAATAAAGCTTATACATAACAAAAGTGTGCTATATAATTATACTTTGTTATTAACTTATCATTTTATCATAAGATATTATCATTTGCTTGACTAGGTCATCTCAAAATTAATTGCCTCCATTAAATTGTTGAGTTTATAATCATAAATTCAATTATACGGGTAGTGTATATAATTTATTATATAATATTTTAATTTATCAGTCTGCTTACTACATTATAATTGCTTATAATTTTGAGAAAAAACTACAAACAAACAATCAGCATAATGTAATATTAAATAACACTACCCTGGTGTTTCTAGTTTTATTATAGCTAGTAATACGTCCTCGAATGCGCAACTTTGCACTCTTTTGTTAGGTTTTCCCATACAAAGTCCTTTTTATCTTTTCGTTCGAAATATGAACTAGCTCAAGTGTTTACAAATTTACCCTTAATAGATATTTACAATGTAAAGGTTTAATTAGGACGAAAATTATTTATCAAACAAGATATTGTTTTAAAACATAAAATATAAAATATAAGTATTAGGTACTGAACATGGTATATATGTTCCCGGATGCCTATGCACAGGTTTAATTATCTTTTAATTTTCCAAATATTTTATTTAATATTTATATATAAACAAGGATCTTTGCCATAAAATAATACTACATAGGTTTTAACATTTTTTCACATTTCAGTAGACTCACCAGATATCCATTTTTGCACTGGATTGTCCAGTTTTAACACATTGTGTCCAGTTATATTTTAAAATTTATACTATTAAAAGGAAAGGTCTGTCCAGTTTTAAAAAGACCTGTCCGTACTTTGCATCAAGGTGATTTAATCAAATATAAATATTTAATAGTTTGTGCAGGATACAAAATGATACACAAATGTAAAATTAATTTTAATATTAAGTGAAAGGAATAGGAGCAATGTCAATTTTGGCAAAAACAACAAAAGTATGAATAACTTTTAAACGGTTTGAAATATTTGAAAAATTTCTTCATAATTTGATAGCATATTTAGAAATGAACAAGTTGCATTACATTAATTTTAATAATTATTTAAAATTATTATACTTTTTGAGAAAATTAGTTTTTATTTTAATATTTTTCTGTTTTGCCCTTGGTAGCCGCCATATTTTTTTGGTGATTTAACACGCTAATATTGTGTAAAACATCTTAATAAAATAAAATCTTGCGGCATTGAAGGGCAAAATAGTTAAAATTTATTATATACTGTGAATCGATTCTTTGTTGCACATTATATTTTAATAAACGGTACAGGGTGTAAACACAATATAAACATTTTTAAATTAAATATACCAAATGCCATATTATTCTTAAGATTGCATATTTTGCATTTACACCATGTATATGAAGTTTTAATTAATTAACTTTTATTTATAAATTTAATTCAGATAAAATCATTTATTTTGTTAAATATTATTATTTAACATATTTTATTACTATATTCATATTCGTTATAAAATTCTACTTTGATTTAATATATAATTTGTAAATATTGATAATAAAATTATTTCTGATAAAAATGGTCATTGCGGCCGAACCATATGGAGTGACACTTTATAAACGTACTCTTATTAGTATTGATTATATGAACAATAATAATAAATAAATTACTATAAAATTATACCAAAATGCGTATAACCTATTGAATATTTAAACATGAATCTAAAATGAGCAAATAATATACTACCATAATTATTTGCAAACGCTTGTTCATTCATATTGTAAGCAAGTTTGCATATAAAATAATTGTTTATGCACTAATAGTTTTGTAACTTGCTTAATTCGTTTAGTTTAACTTGCTTATTCAATAAAAAGTCAGTCTTTCACAAAAATATTTTATTAT